ACATACTCTCCTCAGCTTTTCTTCAAGATCAGTGGTGGAGAGAAGAGGGGGAGATGAAGAACCTGGGAGCAAAGGTATACAAAGCTTTTCAAAATTTAGTGTCTTACTTTACACAGAAAAGATAACAACAGGTACACCTGTGCAAACAGCAAATTATGTCATGTTTAAAAAACGAGCAGGAGTGTTTTATTGGGTTTAAAACCATGAGGCGTTCAAAAACACACGCTGAGCTTTTACATGGCTAAAAACATATTTGGAAAAGCGTGTGTCAAGAGAGTTCATAACAATTATGCTTTTGTGAACGTTAGAAATCATCATCAAAAACATTAGGGATTAAATTAGTATACAAGAAAATCAAATCTCACACGTGTTTTGTACTTTTCTTCTACTAACCGAAGAGGACATGGCGTCCTGTTCTGCCAACTGATCTTGAATTCGAAGTTTCAGATGATGTATTGTCTAATATGCCTTTACCAGATTACTGTACTAATGGAATAGAGAATTTTTCCAGATGTGTATTTCACAACTGTACTATTAATTTGGTGCAAAAGTAAATTTACTGTGTGAAATTTGTTGAAAGAACATTAAATATGTTCCCACCATTTGTTGTGTCAGTTTCTGTGTTGATAATTAATTAATATTCATGAGAGCAATATCTGATAAAACACCGCATACTAATAAGGATGAGGTTTATCGATATAAAGTCACTGCATGTGATGTATTATCTACCATTTGATAGGTTATTGGGCTTATGAATTATTAATGAGTTTTTGAAAGTCATGTTAAAGTAAAATAGTCTTAGTTCTCAATTATAACTCCAATGATCATTGTTGAAAACAACTATTATGTATTTTTACTGCATGCCAACACAATACCATCTTTAGCTAAAGTAGAGAATGAGACAATGCCAAATTTGGATTAATCTACAGTTGACTCTAGCCCTGTGGTCACCTCACTATTACAGACACCTTGCCACTGCAGACAAGAGCCAGCCCCTGGAGAAACACATATGGAAATGACTGAAATAAATTCCATCTATAACAGACTCTTGCTATTGCAATAATGCAGACTCTTTCCTGCCCCCCCAGTATGACTTTTCACTTGTTTTTTTTCTTGCTATAACAGACACTTATTTACTTTGTCCAAAATCATGACTAGTATACTATGAACCAACATTATGAAAAAGAGAAGTAAAGAAACCATTCTTCAATTGGGTGTGAACATATGAAATTTTCTGCTTACAGCCAGATCTTTTTCCGGTTTGTGGAAACTTTATTTCATATGTTAAGAAACAAAACAAATATTTATTTCTCTTGTACCCCATTATTACAAACTTTTTGCTACTACAGACACTAAATCTCCCCCTGAGGATGTCCACAGTGATGGGAGTCAACCTTAAGGGGAAAAGTACAAAGAGGAATTCATGGTGTTACTTTTAATAGCATCATGATAACAAGTCAAACCATCATGTAATTAATAGATTGTATTTGATGCACAAAATCTATCTAAACTATATCACAGTCAGTTTTTTTGATGATTTAAGATCAACACTGGAAAAACTAAGTTTATCATTAAACACTGTTTCACCAACCAGCCTCTACTACCTTAACATCCTCTTATAGTAAAACACAGAGTGATGGAAAACTACATTGGGTGTAATTTCCTTTCAAAAAAAATATTTTGAATGAGAACTACTTGTATTTAAAAGCATGCTTAGTTCAGTTTTACCATTAAAGTTAATTTAACAGCATCTTTTACTCACCTTCCATTCTTTGAAGTTTCATTTGTTGCTCTGCTAGTTCTTTTTCAGGATCAAAGGTGGAAGAACCAGGGAGAGGCAACATGCCTAAAAACAAAGTTATACATGGAGAGATTAGCATTGCTACTGATAAATAGTTAAAAACAAGCATACCAACTTGTAGCTAGAAGGATAGATTTAAAAAAGCTCTTCAAAACATCCATTTCAAATACACACATACAGTAAGCCACGTGATCATCTCTATAAAGTGCATGAAATTTACCTTAAATACAAAATTTAGGGGAAACTAAATTGGGTTTTAATTTCTTTCAAATTATATAATCTTTTTAATGAAGAACTGAGAGTATTTCAAATAAATATCAGTTTAGTTTTACCCTATAGACCCTAGCAACCTTAAATATCTAGTCCCAAAAGCACACTTCTTCACACTTGACATTATAGCTGAACACACGGAACATATCCACTTTAGAAATCAATTCAAACTGAGCTTCCTGTTCACCTTTCCTTCCCTGTGCTTTTCCTATAAGTTTTTTCTAAAATAATACCAATGCCACATTACTGCATTGAGATCATTCTTCAAAGTTTTGTCAAATAATAAATTCTTATTACTGTTCACAATAACTTTCCTGAACAACCTAATACGTCTTTTCACCTTTCATTTTCTTTCTCTCAAAAATCTTTGTCTTCTGTTTCCGTTTTTTCAGCTCTCCTTGATTTTGTGGACCTTCACTGGTTGAACTTATGGAGTGGAATCCAGAAGATGAGGCACCTAAAATCAGATTTAAAAGAAAACAAATAATGAGGCAACCACTAAATACTGACATTCAAAACCATACAACACACCTCAAATCATTTTATAAAAACCCCACACACAAATACAGATAACATTTTCTTTTATAGCTCCTTCAACCAAAACCTTGCCAATTTTTTACTTTAGCTTATTTTATTTATATTTGGAGCCAAAGATAAATACAACCAGACAGAAAGGTAAATATACTAGGAAATTTCTTGAACAAATCACTTCTAGCTGTAGATTGTCATTTTATATGTAGTCAGCATGAGCTTAGTCATGAAACAATTGGTTCTATCTTGGTAAAAATCTGGACCCCCCTCTACACCTCTGTTAACCCTATGGTGCACCATGTTGAATGAGTGATGCGTTGTGTTTTTAATAATTTCAAGACATTTTTCCACAGGACCAGGCCTTTTTCTTTCTTTCAACTGACCTCTGAGTACATCCTTCTCAAGAAAGTACAGTTTGTATATGCATTGTTCTCTTCTATGTCCATTGTTGTTTTCAGCTGTGTACAATTATATTATATTATTGATGCCACATTATTGCACCGAAATTATTCTTCGAAGATTTATCACATACTTGTTATTACTGTTCATAAAAACTTTCCATAGTAAATTAATACAAGTTTTTAATTTCTTTTTCACCTTCCAATTTTGCTGTCTCCATAATCTTTGTCTTCTGTTCACTTTTTTCCCATTGTTCTTTTTTTTGTGGACTTTCACTGGTTGAACTTGTGGAGCAGAATTCAGAGGACAGGGCTTCTAAAATCAAATTTACAAGAAGACACACATTTTAAAAGATAAAGACACTTCAAACTATTTTTAAAAACACCCAACATGCAAAAACTAGAAAAAATTTTCTTTCATGGTCCCTCCAACAAAAGTCTTGCCAATTAACCTTTGATTAATGGATGCAATCAAATAAATTAAGGAAAGATAAAAACAACCCTATAGAGAGGAAATATCAAGCCAGATGTCTTAGTAGGAAAGATAACAGGCTACTGGGAAGAGATGTTTGAGAAGAACAAAACATCAAATGAAATGTCTTGCAAACAAATTACTTCTTGCATTGGCATGGTTACATACAGTAGTCAGCATGAATTTATTCAAGAGACAAGTTCCCTAACTCTTGATATAAAAACTGGACCCATCCCTTCATGACATGTACCTTACCATACGTCATGTGGAAAGACTGATGGATTTCATTAGAAGCCCTTGACAAATAATTCATAGTAGGATCAGGCCTTGTTACATTCTTTCTACCAACCTCTAAGTGCATCTTTCTCAAAGAACATTTTGCATCCATTGTACTCTTCTATGTCTATTGTTGTCTTCAGCCTCAGCTCAGCCAGGTTCAGTTCCTTCAAGATCTCCTCAGTTACAAAACAATTCTGAACCACTTCATCAAGATGACCAGATGAGTAATCTGTCCACAAGTCCTCCAAGATCATTAGAGATTCACACCTCACCGTTATCACCAAACTTCCTTTAGAGACACCAGTAATGATGAACCTCATTTTTTCTGCATATTCCATAAACCTATTGAACTCTTCAATAGACTGTGGCTTTATGGCATTGAAATAATTTAAAATAATTGATAGAAAGATTTCCTCTTTATGAGTGTGGAGATCTTCTGTTTGTGGACAAGATGCACTTCCAGATGCAGCTGATGTAGCAGATACCCTTGGCAGTATAACCTCTTGGCATCTGACAGTCTCTGTTGCCAACATGCCAGTCTGCATATTCTGTTCTTTAGGTTTCAAGTAATTCACATCAACCTTAATATTCATTTCACCACCTGTTAAATTGTAACAGTCACATTTAATCCTAATATAACAAGGTTTTTTCCACCTCCTACCTAATTAACCACTGAAATGTGAGAACATTACAATGAGGCAACACCAATCAAACATAGAGCTTGTTATCAATGAATAGATACCAACAACATATTGATGAAATGAAAATGATTACCACATACAGTATATATATATATAGCTTCAATTTCTGTTTCTTTTGCATCTTTATCTCATTCCATAGTAGAATCAAAATTCTGATGGATCTAAAAGATTAGTTTCAAACATGGAAATATCTAAACAGACCTAGCCACGGTGATACATAGGCATGCCTAGCATGCAAGAGTCATTTTTCTGGCTGGGTGGGTTGAGATGGGACATTTTGTGTAACTAATGTTTTCATTTTTGTAACAGGAAAAGAGCATAACTTTTAAACAAACAAAAATATTGCATTACTTCACCTTAAGAGAAAGAAAATAAAAACCTAATTTATCTGAATTCACACAGGTATTTTGTGATCTATTGTCTCTATTGTGCAAATACTTCTCAGCGAAAATTAAATGCATCCACGCCACACTTACTGTTGTCTCCTTAACAGCCATAGTTGGGTCCCATCACACAACACCCTCTATTCCCCGTTTGAAAGAGAGCATGTTGTGTGAAGATACCAAATAACAGTTGCAAAAGAGACCACTCTCTCTGCTGTTCCTCTAACAGATAGAAAATGAAAATTATTCATCTACAGTTAGTTGTCCAAAAAATAGAATTCCACCTAATTTTATGACAAAAAGCAAACTGAAACTCTATTGTATTTCCAACAGACCCTCACCAAAAATATATCGTAATCTTGAATAGGTTAGGATACATTAAACAAGAGAAGAGGAAAATAATTCAAAGAGGGCTCCTTGATTGATTGTTGCCCATCTGGACTTTGCCCTGTGTGTGTGAAATACATGATAAAATGCAGGTTGTTTACAATGAATTGACATGCAATTGGGTTAAGTCCATGGTAGCAGTTGCATGAAAAGTTCACCATCAGTCCCATTTAGTTCTGTGTGAATTTTTTTTTGTGGGTTGGAAAATGCATTTTGAATATGTGATAAAATGCAGGTTGCTTACAAGGAAATGACACATGATAGAGCAAAGTCTAAGGGGGCAAAGTGGAATTTGATTGGTGAAGTACAATTCAAGCACATGAAAAATTGCATAGTGTTCATGTCGTGCAATGATTGGGTATGTTCTGATTGGATTTTGAACATTATTTCCATGGTACTCGATGGAATGTGAGTTGTTTAGCATGTGGATCATGAGTAAAAGAAAGGAAAAAACATGTTTTAACTTAAAAATGATAAAAAAAGTCAAATGTGATCCTACCATATCCTGATAAATCTCAACCTTAAGGCAAAGGCCACAAACCATTACACTTAACAAATGAGCCCAAAATTTCTGATTAAGACCATTCTTTGTACACGGTCCCCTAATTCAATGACATAATTTACAAGAAAACAATACCCAAATGCTGTGAACGGTGTAAGATATCCTAATGCTGTAATATGATTGGTGCAAGATACATACTCTTATGTGGCAATCTGATTGGTGCAAGATAAATACCCTAATGCAGCAATCTGATTTGTGACAGATATAAGACACTCAGTCTGTACACTAACATATAAAAAAGCACTCAAAAAGACAGTGCACTTGAACACTTGTAGTCCAACCACAAGTCTAGATAAATGTAACAACTCAGGACTAAAGGTGCACTTTACTCGTTCTTGTGTTTATCTACATGTACCAGTATTCAGTTTATCTTATGCGGCTCATTCTACACATAAGATTTAGCTTCATACATGTAGCATAAAATTTAAGCAAATGTACTGAAAAAAAAGAAAAATTAAAAGAAGTGGGCTCACCATATTCAGTTTTCACAACATTGTCAATCAGCCCTTTAAACCTCTCACATTCTGCTTTCCAAGAGTAAACCTTTCTGTAGTTCTCGCGAAGCTTCACGGCATTGGCTTCTCTCTCTTCTGCACTTTCTTCATACATCTCTCTGATCCTTCGTGCCCATTCATCTTTATCTTCACCTGATCCAACAATGACAGTGTTTCCACCTTCTACTTTTTGCAAAGCCTCAGCTATGCCAGATTCGCCAGAGACAAGTACAGGAACACCAGCAGAAATGGCCTCAAGGGCAACAAGCCCAAATCCTTCGGTACGGGATGGCAGAGCAACCAAATCTGACTGATAGAACATCACCTTGAGTTCCTCTTGTTCACTGCAATATTGACGGATGGTTAGTTGTTTGCGGTTGATGCACGTGTTGTCAAGAAACCATTGCTCAACTTTTCGTTGTTCACCGGGAGATGAGCCGACAAATGTCAACTCAAAGTTCTTACCAAGAGAACCAATGGCATTTGCAACTACATCATAGCCTTTCAGGGAAAGATCCTCAAAGGCAGCTCGGCCACACAAAGACACATTAAAATTCTTTACTACCGATCTGTCTACAACCAATTTTGATTCATTGGAAAACTTTCCAAAGATCCCAGGAGTGATAATCTTCACTTCAACATTAAGGAGACGTCTGCTGTACTTCTGCTGTAGACGGGAGCCAACGGCAACAACTGCATCCGCTGCTTTACACAACTCGATTTCCATCTTGTGCTTCTTCTCGTTCTCTTGGATTGTATCTTCTGCAGCCGTGGCAGATTCTTTATATTTCCCAAGATCCTCGCAGTAGACGTGAACAAATTGGATCCATTTACACTTTGTAGACCGTGCTAGGAAATATGCAGGACTACCCAGCTTTCTTCCATGGCCTATCACCAGATGTGGGTTTGGGAGCTGCGAGGGTGGAAACTTCAAGCACTCGAGGGGGTCGGCTGAACCAGGAACACTTTGAGCTATGATTAAATTGACACCATGTTGTTTAGCATCTTCTCTGTCCCGATCATCGCTATTAGAGACATAGCAGTGGATTTTCATGCTACCAGTCGTCGCTTGTGCCAAATTAATGGCAAATTCTCGATTGAAAGTTGACAATCCACCCTTTGAAGATTTCCATTCGTCACAGAGAAATATGACATCAAGAACCTTCTGCTCTCTCTGCTCCTGGTAGCTACTTCCGGCATTCGATGCTTTAGAAGACGCCATTGTTATTATTGCTACGTTTTCCTTCACCAATAGATAAATCTCAATTCCCTAAATACCGCAATCGGCGGAGATTCCAAAGGACTATCCACGTCTGACTTCATCTACCGTATTTTATTGCATTTGTTCATAATTAGAAAGATCAAGTATCGCTCGACAGAGCTGAATAATATAACCAGGTGGACAATCAGACATAGTTTGAAGCTACACTGGTTTGCAGATTTAATGAATGTAACCGAAGAAGTTACAATTCATAGACCCAACGTTTCGACACTCCTGTCTAGTGCCTTCATCAGGGGTGATCTAAGCGCTGCAACAAGAGGTCCTTTTATAGGATCACTAATTAGCGGCCTTTTTTTCTGACGAGGTGTAAATAGGCGTCAGGAAGCAGACCGCCATCGTCACGATTTAAAGGAGCGTGGGCGGAGTTAATGTGCCATGCCTCCAAACAAAGGCGCTGGTGGTAACGCCGATTAGTGGTGATAATTTTAGAATTATCCCACCCAATTGTATGGTTGGGTAGGCAAGTATGCTCCGATAAAGCTGAATTTTCCTTTTTGCAAAGAAAAACCGCTTTTAGGAGCTCTTTTAACCGTGTACCAAACTGGCGTTTGGTCTGTCCGATGTATTCGTTGTCGCAGTCATTGCAAGGAATAGAATAAATGGCGTCGGTTCGTTGTTCTTTCGTGACAGGATCCTTAGGTTTGGCGAAAATATGCCCCAAAGTCTGAAAAAGTTTTTGAGCAACTTTAACGTTGTGGCTATTCAAAATTCTCTTGATGGGTTCAGTAACACCCTGTATGTAAGGAATAACAGCAAAACCAGTCGCTGGTTCCCTTTCATCAAGAGCGTTACTATTTGTAACTGGTTTTTGGCAGTTACGGAGAAAAGTTTTTGTATAGCCATTTACCTTTAGGACATTGGAAACATATTTCCTCTCCTCAGCCTTCGAATCGAGTGATGATGGTAGACAATCAGCCCTCCTAAGTAAAGTTTTGGCTACAGACTTCTTATGGCAAATAGGATGGTGAGAATCGAAAGCGAGGTACGTATTTGTCGGTGTGGGTGGGTTTACGGTAGACACTTGTCTCTAAATTACCCTGAACCCCTCTGGACACATTTAAATCAAGAAAGGGCAAATGTCTATCCTTTTCACGTTCAAGGGTGAATTGGATCGACGGCTCTACTGAATTCAAATGCGACAAGAGGCGCTCCGCTTCATTTCCGGATACCGCAGAAATAACATCATCGACATATCGTTTCCAGAAAAAGGGTTTAACCGGTGAAGTGGCTAAGGCCCTTTGTTCCACGTCTTCCAACCAAACCACGCAATTTACATATAACGGCACATACTATCAACAAGTTTTTGGTACAGCTATGGGTTCGCCTGTTTCTGCTGTCATTGCTAACATGGTAATGGAAGACGTGGAACAAGGAAAATTCAGCTTTATCGGAGCATACTTGCCTAACCAACCATACAATTGGGTGGGATAATTCTAAAATTATCACCACTAATCGGCGTTACCACCAGCGCCTTTGTTTGGAGGCATGGCACATTAACTCCGCCCACGCTCCTTTAAATCGTGACGATGGCGGTCTGCTTCCTGACGCCTATTTACACCTCGTCAGAAAAAAAGGCCGCTAATTAGTGATCATATAAAAGGACCTCTTGTTGCAGCGCTTAGATCACCCCTGATGAAGGCACTAGACAGGAGTGTCGAAACGTTGGTATGGTTGGGTCTATGAATTGTAACTTCTTCGATTACATTCATTAAATCTGCAAACCAGTGTAGCTTCAAACTATGTCTGAGGAAAATGGATTTTGAGTCGTTTGCAGGTTCGATTCTCTATCTGTTGCTTCTAGACGTTGTTTCCCTTTCGCTTTTCTTTTAGAGAACAACCTCCGAAAACTTTGCACACCCCCTAAATATTTTCAATAATTAATTTTCTCCATAAAAACACTGGAAATAGGAAAATGCCTTCAACTACGACAGAATACCTTGGTTTCAAATACCAGCCCTATTATTCTCCTCAAATTTCGCTGAATTTATAACCTCGAGGGCTTGAGCCCGCGTCATTGACCACTTAGCTGTGACGCTACATTTCCTTATTCAGCTTTGTCAGTGGTGGGGGGGGAGGGGAACAGGAGGGGCAGAGCCTCCTGTACCACGTTCTCTTGCCTCCCGTACTTTTGTGCCCCTTTGCCTTCTGACTCCCACCCTTCATTGTGTTGCTCCCGTCTTCAAGTTAATCAAGAGGATCAGAAACCCGGGTTAACTTTCAAAAAAATTGCGTGAAAAGTGAACCACTCCACACTCTCCGGCGCGCTCACTGAAGCGGCATTCCTTTGAAACAAGTTTGCACCATGAGGCAAAATCTTCAGTAATATCAAATATCATATCAAGTGAAAGATCAATCTCTCTCCTCCACATGCATTAAAATCTTACATAAGTTTGCACATCCTCTCATAGTCTAACTATCTGAAGATCCAAGGTCGCCCTTCAAATATCGGATATGCTCAACGTCGAACATAGTTCCCTGAAAGAACCATTTCGTCGATCGTTATTCTCTCCTCGGCGTTTTCTTTCATCGTGTTCAGAAATCTTTTATTTATGAACTTGCACAAAAGTCGACTTCTGATTTAAAAATTTTTTTCCAGGGGGGCCTCAGCTACGCCTCTGCCGCTGTTTTGTTCTCACACATTTTGACGTCATCTGTGATCTAATACTGAAAAGAGGAATCTATTTTTTATAACAAAAATGGCCCTAGATCAATGAGCGCGCGAGAATTTCCACAGTTATTGTAGAACACGCTATTGAATAGAATATTACAATATCATCGTCCATTTATTGTAAACTAATCAGAGCCCAGTTGTTCAAAGAACGGATGACGCTATCTAACGAATAAGTGTTAACAAAACTTAAAGCGCCATCCACGTGATGCGGAGGGTATGAAGAAACTGTCTGTTCACCCTAGTTGACCTGACTTAATTATACACGAACCAGAGTGGACAAGTTTTATCGGAAATGGTACAGCCTAAATGAACAAATCAATGCAGTCAACGACAACGGCTGTCCAGACAGAAGGAATAATAATTCTACTACTACCACTACCACTACCACTACCACTACTACTACTACTATACTACTGCTACTGCTACTGCTACTGCTACTGCTACTGCTACTGCTACTGCTACTGCTACTGCTACTGCTACTGCTACTGCTACTGCTACTACTACTACTGCTACTGATAATAATAATAGTGATAATAAAAATAATAATGACAATAATAATAACAGATGTGTTTTTCTAATCCTTCGTATTTTCAACCCCATCCAATCCTTTAGTTGATGGAATAATAGCTTGCTTCATGATTTTCTTTTTTATTTGAACACATTTGAACACTTTGTTCAAAACAACTTAATGAGTTATAAGGAAGAAACTATAACCATGACATCATTCATAATGTTTCAGAGTTGACGTCATGTCACCCTTCTTAACAGCCTGAAATCTTTCAATAAGCGAATTTTAGGAATCCAGTTTTATGAGACACTCCCCACTACGGTGATCATTTCCGACTTCCACGATGGTGAATCAGTTGCTATTAGAGAACTGTAGTGAAGTACACAGATCGTAAATGTATCAACCTTCTAACACACCATTTCTTGGATTTAGGGAGTTTTCGGTGAGTCGTAAAATATTCTTGACAAAACGTTTCGTATGGCCTTTCGTAAAGACAGCTCAACTAACCTCCTATTCCTATAATTGTGTAAATTAACATCACAGAGGTTTAACAAATAACTGATGACGGTCAAGTTACAGAGCAATTTTCAATTGTGAGTCGAAAGACATCCGAGATTAATTTTGGTTTTGCTTTACTTCGCTCTGTGATTGGTCAAGATCACTCGCGCCATCATCTCAACCAATCAGATGCAAAACTAACACCTATTTCAACTTGGTGACTCTCGTTTTCCCGCTCTTCGGGCAGTTTACTTGTTTTTGCCTCGAGCACTCATTGGCTCCTCTTTGCGATAGTTTCTTTGATTCTGATTGGTAGTTCTTCTTACTTTGGTTTTAGATTTACGACACTCAATTGAAAAGCGCTCATAATCAAGTCGGGGATTACTGTCCAGACATAAAAACAAATTCCGAGGGATACTCGACAAAGAATCAGGAAATATCGGATATGCTCAACTTCAGGTTTAGCCAGGAAAATTAATATTCAGATCTTGGACTGGGGTGAAAGGATCAATGCGTTCGGGATAATGGTTGCCTAGCTGGAGCCCAGTGTCCTCTCATCATGAAATCATCCGCTAAGACTGGCTAAGTTTAAAATGCTATCTTCTCTCCAAAGGATCCAGTTTAGGTGACGGTCGTCGCGGACCCAAGTGTCTTGAAAGTGAATTTGGCTTTGGTCCATTATGCTGTGAAATAATAAAAACTCTTAGAATCAGGGCGGACTTAGAGTTGGTCCTAGAGGTCGGAGCTCCACTTTTATTCGGGATTTCATAACGTAAGGTTTCCTACGAAAATGTTTAAGAGTTAATAGTATATAGAGAGGTAAAGTTCTCATCACAAGATCTCGGCCCTGGCTTTTCTAAACTCTTTTCATACACTCCTATACGTTTTGTTTACCCAAACAGCCAGACTATCTAGACAGAAAAATGCATGAGGTAATCGCCTCTTAGTTAACAACAAGTAATTTATTTATCGATCACAAGAACGAACCGATCTTCAAGGAAACAAAGAAGATGAATGCGAGTGAGATACTAGCAATATCACAGTCACTCACTACAAAACTGAGGCAGCGTTCAGACACAAGTTTTTCTCTTATATCTGCAACCACTTACTTTGAAGTCTTTGAAACGTTACCAGGAGAAAAAGAAGAAAGAAACTAATACAAACCCAGTCCAGAATATCTACAGAAGTGGACGAATTTTTGTATCCCGTCCTCTGAGCGACCTGACTTTCGTTTAATTTAATCTGCGAAAATAAACAAAGAAG